GTGCCTGGACTAAATTTTCACATACGTTTTTGATACCATGTGGAAAATAATGATAATACCACGAAAAATGGAGTTTTTGTATTTCGATTTATCAGTAGGAAATAATCGATTAAACATCTAATAGAAATTTTAACAATCAATTCAATAATCGAGTCGAAAGACATCCGATTAAACAGTCAATTAATTGCCAATCGAAAACCTCTACATCAGACCGTATTTCATGTTGATCCTGTTAATAGGTTGTTTTGCTTCCACAGATGGGCAAACGTCAGAAAGCCACAGAAAACTGAGCCTGAAGTTTTTGAAACGTCGTATCTCTCTAGATGATGAATTCAAGAACATCAGTCACCAAGACTGCTGTCTTTCTAAAGTCACTGAATCATCACATCAATATCCTATTCGATCAGCTAAGGTGTTTTTCTGCTTGTGAGCAAATGTTGAAAGTCGCATAAAACTGACTACATACTCATGTTTTTAAAACGTCATATCGCACTTGGTATCTTGTTCAAAAACATCAGACACAGAGGAGGCTCTTCTCTGAATCTTGAAGAATTATCATGCCAATTTTCAGCATAATCCGTCGAGTACTGAGTATTTCTGTCACAAATAGGAAAACACAAAATGTCAGAGAAAACTGCAAAAACTAGTCTCTGTTTCATGACCTTAAAAACGTCATATCTCCGTTGATAACAAGTTTTGAAACATCGGACACCAAAAGGTATGGTTTTTGAATCTTGAAAAATCATCACGCCAAATTTAAGCATGATCCTTCGAGTAGTTTTTCTGCTACAGGTGAGCAAAAGTTGAAAAGTGGCGAAAATCGGCAATTCCTATTATTTTTGGCACAGTTACAGCGTCGACCGACGCTTATCGGCTTATAGCCCCGTGTGTGTGTGGTTGCTGCAGGGGTGGTTGACGGCGTTTTCTGGGCATCTTACTTTAGGCTTTGCTCAGTTGTGACACTTATCTTTATACATAATTTCTGTACGAATAAAACTTTTCTGACAAATGATTACAGAAACTATAATCGGTTGTCAAAAAAGTTTTATTTGTATAGAAATTAAGTGTTCATAGTGCCGATAAAGTGTCAAAAATTGTGCAGTATGCTACTACATAGTGACTTATCTTTATACTTCAAGCTTGGCGGGGAGATCTGCCGATCTGAGTGATAATAGGAAGGAATGGAGTCCCTGAGTTTTGAGTGAAATTGAAAAAAATGTCATAGTACCTATTTGAAATGGAGACTTAAATTTCAAGCCTTTGATGTAGAGACCAAAAATTTCCCATTTGTTGCCTGACTCCAACTCCCACTTTGAAGGAAAAGAATAATTTTCGGCATTAAAGGTGATTCAATGGCCAGTCCAGTTGCGAATCTGAGATGTGAGATCAAGCCACCTTCGAGCAAGAAGTACAAATTTCGAAAAGCCTTTATTACACGTCCCCAGGGACGAAGATGGACATTTCAAGGACAGAGGAGGCAAACTTTTCAATATTTCCCTACGTTTGCTTGTTTTATGTTAGCTCCCTCGGCTTCCATCGACCTTCCGTCAGGATTACAAAAAATTATGGTTGAAAATCGTAAGGAAGGGCTCAGTATCAAATCTAGAAAGCTTCATGGCTGATGCAATGCATTCAAATAAATGGAAGAGGAGTCCATACTGATTACTTTATCACTAATTATTCAAACGATTTCTTCACTATTTTAATCTTGAAGTTGGGCTCAAATTTAAATTGCTCTTACGTTCAAAATTTTCAGGTTGAGAAAAATCTACAAACAAAATATCACACTGAGCAAGAGGTAGCAAAAGTATGTACCTTTTCAGAGGGATCAATAACAGCTATGGCTTGCATAACAATAATTTAAACAATTATAATTAAAATATACATTATTGAATAAAATAAATCAAACTGTGCGGAAAAATTGCTGAGAGCTGCCCTCAACATCAAACTCATCTGTTGGAAATACTACAAAAAGTGTTGTTTGAGCTCCTCAAAAACTAAATCTACTTGTAGGTTTTCTTCTCAAAAAAATCATGAAATCGCAGAGATTTCCAGTTTTTTCAGGGACAAATCTTGTGGCAAACTAAAATCCAATTATACCGTTAAAAAGCTCTTGCTCCTGGCTTTTTAACGGTCTAAGTATCTCAAATGAACAAAGCCTAAGGTAACATGCACAGAAAACGCTGTCAACCACCTCTTCAGCAACCACACACACGCAGTGTAAGCAACGGAGATAGGACGTTTTTATGGTAAGGAAACACAGACCAATTTTGTGCTCATTTTGATGTGCGCCCAAACATCCAGATAGGCAAGTGACAACTACGTAGAAGTTCTGTAAATATCGTCTGATTTGATTCTGATCATACCATACCTAAGTAATAATCGATTGTTGAATTGAAGATGTTTGTTTCTCTTTGGGCTTGAACCTCCCAAATACAGGGTACATAAATTACATACTCTAGAGGTACATAAATTGTTAGATTTTTTATTTTATTCAATGTTTTTAAATTTCTATCCAATTCCACTTCCAGTTTCTGGTCTTCTTGAAGTGAAAAAAACTTAATCTCTTCAAGTCTTACAAAGCGGACTGGCCTGAAGGCTTAGGCAGCAATCACCTCCCTCTTTTGGCTGACGTCATTCCTCAAAAGGACTCCACAGAGCACCCTTTAAACAGATTTTTGGGGCCCCCCTTGGAAATTTCTATGAAATCTTGCAGAGGCTCTTAGGGTCTCTCTTAAACCATACCTCCTTATTTTCATCATGAGAGACCCCCAATCCTCTTCTGAGCGGTGCTCAGCTTTTTTTTTTTTTTTACCAATTTCAAATAGCCTATTAGCTAATCCCACGCTTACTACCCCAGCCCCAGATGACCATTGTCTGAGACCATCAAACTCAGATCACCTGGCCAGGAATCGAACCTGGGACCTCTTGGTCATAGGGCCCAGCGCTACAACCACTACACCACAGGGTGCCGGCAAAACAGGAGCCGACAGGAGCTCCGGGAAAATTTGGAGCCAATCTGCCCCTGCTGGTCTAGTCAGCGGAGTAGTGAACTTTGACTTCTTTTTCTGAGCATAACACTCAAAAAAGGTGGGACAAAACACAGATATTGCCGTAAAATTGGGTATTTCGCAATAAAATTGGACAATTGGCCAATAGGGAAATCAGAAAAATGGCCGTGAGGCAAAAATGCTGGAATAAGTCAAATGCAGTGTTCTGCCTTCCCCAGCCATGCACCAAATGCGCCTAAAAATTAGGGGGGGGGGCCCCACCGTGGCGCATAAAAAATTTGACAGATTAAACTCGCAATCCGGAAGTAGCGGTAGTGATGAAGCGCTCTCTATACGCACCGTTCGCAGCATCGTCATGGCCCGTATGAAAAAATTTAATTTGGCTCCTGAAAAATAGTAGATGGCTCCTACAAATTGGGCTTTCCGGCTGAGGTGGCTCCTAAATTTAAGGGGGAAGGCAGTGGTCAAATGTTCTGAGTCTTTGAACTTCTGACGCCCCTGTAATTGTTCATGTGCAATTTTCTCTCTTGCTTGCAAGTCATGGGTGACTTTGATTCGCCTGTGATCCCCTGCTTGACAGAGAGTGCACAGTAATTCCAGCAACCAAAAGAAACTGATAAAACTGGCGCATTCATAATTTAACTTATATTTCACATAAAAACCTTCAACTGATTTTGACATATGGCCATCTACGTAAGAAATCTTTTCCCCCTTCAGCTCTGGTAATCATTAAATACTCAGCCCTTCTCTGGATTTGCTTCATCAGATCACACACATTTGTAACACCTCTAGTCACGAGCGCCATTTCAGGTTTTCGCAGGGCCAGGAAGGATAGTGATGGGATTAGTTTTTGTTTTTGTCTGCTCAGCTTCTTCAGTACCTTGGAAGCAGCAAATGCGCCTCTTCCAAACTCCCTTAAACAATTTTTCCGCCTCTATGTCCCTTCCCCATGGCGTCAAGCAGTTTTCCTTGGCTCAACTCCAAGATGCAGGGCTGGGTAAAGGCCCGGCCTACCCCCCTCAATTGTCGCCTCTACTTTCAGTCTTGAAACTTCACTAACCCATCCATTTTTGATTGGGTTTTCTGCTCTTCCGATAAAGTTAAAAGAAGAAAATGGGCAATCCATGAAATTATCAATTCATTCACAATTTACGGAGCAGATTGGGTGTTGTGGTAGGGTTTATGATGCTTAGATCAACCTCTGTACAGAAAATAATTCCTCTCTATGTAACACTTAACAATGATTGGGCTGGAAAACTTAAGAGAACACATAATTTTACGGCATAGCATGAAGTCCGACTTCATCATCAACCCGAGCATTCCAAAATGAGATTAGGCTCTACACACGCGTAGTACCTAGTTTGATCATGATGGTGATGAATGACGAGAGCAAAACTGATTTGGTTTAAAATTCATCCAGACGGATTTCTCCTTTAAAGAAACCTTGATGGAATGATCCATGTACAAAATACCATTATCCTTGGCTGAAAATTCAAATAGTGAGAAACAGAGGCAGATATAGTAACACAAAACTTAGGTTTACTTAACTCATGGTTGCAGAAATACAGGGCAGAAAGAGGTCAAATCCAAGCTGATGAAATTTAACAAGAGGCTCGTGGAAGAATGTAAACATTCTAAAATGAATTGGGAGGAAAAAGTAGCAATTGGTAATAAAAGCAACTACCACCCAGCAGAATGCTTTAACGTAATTTGGGGCAGAGAGGAAGAAAGAGACGAGGTGTTGGGAGAGAGTCCATTTCACCCATGCTTGAACCTTCGGGGCAAACGAAATGCTTAAATTGAAAATAGATTTACGTACAGACCATTGAGCACTCGAACACATCAGAAAGAAAGGAAAATGGTTAAAGAACCTAAAATAGGCAATGGAATAACAGGGGTGCAGAGCGACTTTGATTTGATGGAACTTGCATTTTTACTGATAAACTTGTGATAAACAAAGGATGTAAACAAAGATAAACATAAACTAACCTGGAAACTTGTCATCAGGACTTGAGTTCATTGTAAGATTATCCTGAAACAACGAAGAGGACAAAAATAAGATAGCTCTTAAAGGAGAAAGGTTCCACTTGAATGATGGGAATAGAAACTGAAAAATTTTCACATACTCATAAAATGCTTGGTGGAAGCGAAAATCTTATTTTGTGATAGAGAGGTTTTAGACGAATGATCAGACGGATTCCTGAAAAGAGAGGAAAAGTTCTATCACAGATCGACGTACGGCAGAATTCCCCACATACGTTGGATTTAGAAAAATTCGCAATTAGACGCCATGTTGCTGAGGACTTAAAAAATTTTACGGTTCACTGAGAAGGGAAGAGAAGGGGGCCGTGGTTAAAAGGCTGTCAAAGATCCTTCCAAGAGATTAAGAGGCGTGGGGATGGATGTGATATTGTGATATTGAACCAATTTCACTCACATTAGCAGAAATAGAATCTTCAACTTCACCTGAGTCTGCCATTCTACTGGAATGAATTTGGGTACAACGGCCGTCAACTACAACATAGGATAGTAAAGCTAACGCCAATAGAAGGGACACTCGCGTAAGCGGCCGTGGTGACTCTCGCCTGCTGTATCCAGGTTTGGTTAGGTCCCGTTGCCCTATACTCATAGAGTACAATAGAGTCGCAAAGTACTGGAGCGGCGATGAAGCCAATCCATGAACAGGCGTTTCCGAGCCGCGTGTGCTCCGAAAATAGTGAACCATTTGTGAACCCAACGGCATTTTGTAACACGGCGGCTTATGGAGAAATCAAGAACTGCTTGTGTTTTTTAGGTATTTTATAATTCAATCAGCATTAATTTTTGCAAATTTTGCTATTTAAAGGTAGTCAAAGCCATAATGAATCCATTGATGTATATTACTCCTGGATAATATTCATATTGGGATTTAATTTCTGACTTATACCAAGTGTGAACCAACCGGCATTTCTTATCACGGCGGCTTACGGGAAAAGCAACGACTGCCCGTGTTTTTTCGACATTTTTTAATTTCATCGATATTAATTTGTGCAAATTTTGCTATAATTAGATAGTCAAAGTCATAATGAATCCATTGATGTATATTACTCCTGGATAAAATTCATATAGGAATTTAATTTCTGACTTATACCAAGTGTGAACCAACCGGCGTTTTTTTACACGGTGGCTTATGGAGAAATCAAGGACTGCTTGTATTTTTTCAACTTTTTTTAATTCCATCGGTATTAATTTGTACATATTTTGCTTTAAATAGATATCCAAAGCCATAAGGAATCCATTAATGTATGTTACTCCTGCAGGATAATATTCATATATGGACTCAATTACAGACTTATTACCGGCCTACTTATTTTAGCTGGTTCAGTGTGTGTCTAGCCGACGAACGGAGCCGAGTCGGGACTGTCGGGAGTGGGGAGCGCTGCCCGAGTCTCTGCGTATGCGTCATCGCTAGTCGCCGCACACTAGTCTCCGGGGAACTGGACAAAACAGCCTCGAAAAGTGACTTCATGGGCGATCCAGTACTTTGCGACTCTATTGTACTCTATGGTTTGAACTGCGCGCCAGATCGGGGTCCCACTAGTACGTCATCAATATGGCTGGATGTACCAACCTCCTTTTAATCAACCTTGGGAAACCCCCAAAAAATCAACTTAAAAACGCCCCAAAATTTGGATTTTCATAACGATCACTCACAACTTTCTACCTGTGCTCTACTACCGTTTGAAAGTCGGGAGTGGGGAGCGCTGAGCGCAAGTCTCTGCGCATGCGTCATCGCTAGTCGCCGCACACTAGTCTCCGGAGCACTGGACAAAACAGCCTCCAAAGGTGGCCTCATCGGCGCTCCAGTACATTGCGACCAGAGATGGAAAGTGAAATTTCACGTTTTGAAATTTCATGAAATTTCACGTGAAATTTCATGAAATTTCACAAGGCCCGAATAAATTTCAAAAAAATTGAAATTTGTTGATTTTTCAAAGAAATATTGTTACTAAGCCTCGGAAACGGTTCAGATGATCCTCCTGCTGATGCAGCAGAATATGGCCCACTAATGAGATGCTACACCCAAAGGAGGGGGCACAGGGGGGGTTTTAGAGAAAGTTAGCCCTAACCTAACCTCCAAACCAAATGTAAACAGACATGCACCCAGCAAATCGCGTGGCCGTGGACAAGATTATAAGAACATCACACCCTTTTAGAAACGTTTTACTTTAGTACTTTTATGTTTTCAGAGATGTGAATAATGGCGAAAAAGCCGAAAAGCCGTGCTCGG